TCTGTAAGATTCTCTTGTGAGTGGTTAATAGAATGGTTTTTTTCTCTGTGATTAATAGCCTTGTCAGCCAATTATTACTTGAAATTGTTAGTTATTTCTGTACTGTGTTCCAAGCTTCTTCTCCAACATACTTAATGAAGATGCAGGATTTATCTAACAAACACTAATTCTCATAAATGATTATTGGTTGATTAAATTTTCATAAGTTAATATTTGTTTTGTAGGATTATTAATATATTCTGCATACATATTCAATTTATAAAAAGCAAATGAAAGCCTTAGGTCATATTGTATTAGTCTGCTCGGGTTATCACAACAAACTACTACACACTGGGTGGCTCAGACAACATTTCTAGAGGCTGGAAGTTGAAGGTCAAGGTGCCAGGTTTGGTTACTGGTGATATCTTTCTTTCTGATAGATTGGCCACCTTCTCTTTGAGTCCTCGCTTGTTTTTTTTTTTTGTTTGTTTGTTTGTTTTCTGTAGTTTTGGAAGAGAGAGTTCGGGTATCTCTTTCTCCTCTTATAAAGACGATAACCCTATGGAGTAAGGGCCCCACCCTTATGACCATATACATACCTCCCTAAGGCTCTATCTCCAAATATAGTCACACTTGGGGTCAGGTGAATTTTTGCTTATGAATTTTGACAGGACACAGTTCAATCTATAATGTATATCAAACTTGATTTTATTTTGCTTCAAGGGTGCTTTTAAATTGTTTCGTTTTTGCTAGAACCAACAGGACTACTATTAAGACAAAACAGGTTTGCTTCTGTTACCACCTCTTAGCAATAGTAGTGACCACAGGTGGTGAACAAAGGTCAATGATTGGAATGGAGTTAGATGGGAAAGCATTGACTAAGGGGAAATGGGCAATTATTTTCTAACCTTGTAGTTAAACCCTAGGTAAAGAACAGCTTAAACTGGAGGACTGAACCAGTGGCCCCCACAGGGACCAATTTTGTTTGGAGCACATGGGTTTTAAAAAATTGAATTGGTAGCAAACTTTAAAAAATCAGGCAATTGTATAATCACAATGTAGAATTTGCTTTCCTTTTGAGGTCTCCGAAGATCTGATAAAACTAAGGTTTCATTCACAATGTTATAGAAAAAAGGTGGAGCTGAGATGAACTATGAATCTGCCCGCATTAAAAGGGGTATCTGCATGCACCTGCCCATGTTAGAAGGGGTGTCTGCATTATGGTTTGAGAGCTTCCTCAGCATTCTCTAACTGATGCCCAGCATGGAGGAAAAGCATTTGCATTTTATGCTATTCTTGCATCGTTATTCTTCCCAGAGTAGATTTTGTGTAGATTTCTTGTATCCCCATTTAGTTTCAAATGGTAAAACTAAAGCTAAACGAGTAGTACATTTCAAGAAAAATGGCATCTTTTATTGATGTTTTCATCATTTCAGCTATAAGCCTGGCCCTTATAGCTATTTATATTTGCCCATTCTGATGCCCGCCAATCAAGTTAAAACCCATGATACTATGTAATAGTGACTTGTTCGTAGAACAGGTGGTCTTCCTCATGATAGGAAGTTGAAAAACCTTCACAAAGTCTCTTGTAGAGTCTGTGGTAAGCTGTGAACTTCATACCATTTATCAGTACAACTTTAATTTGTTATTTTTTTAAAGTACATTCCTTCAGAGTTAACTTTTAACTTTTATCCTGTGCAGATGCATATTTTTTCTGTTTACCAAAGTTGTTTCATCCTGTTCTCTGTTAAAAAGATGATAATTACCTCCGTTGTACTAATAGATCAATTTAATATTCTAATATCTCATCATTTGTGATAATATTAAATAACACCCAATCTCAGGTCGATCCATAGGGCATTATGTATTTCCGTTGGCAGTGATTAAATAATTTTCATAATCTACTTTAGTCTCTTGGGACTTAGGTTTTGCAATGTGAATATGAGATTTGTAGATTTGCTTTCTCTGCAGCTTCCCCAATTTGTGAAACACAACGGATACTATCTAGAATCCTTAAAGCTATTTGGTGAAGTAATTTATAAGTCCAGATTGGTTCAATGAGATCTGTGGCTTTCAAAACACCATTTGAAAGCTCTTGTTTAGGACTATGCCTACATGTTACAGAGTGACCAGGGTTGTCATATGTACCTTCTTTCAGCCCTTCTTCTTTGGGTTTGTATTTTTGTTGTCTGTTTGGCAGTGTTCAGGTTCTAAATGTGTTACTTTTGAACGTCATTAACCTTTGTTGATATAATAATATTAAAATAATTTGGATTTTTTATTTTCAAGACTCTACTTTGTCTGTTTTATTACTTTACTGCACAGTGCTCCTTCTTTATAGGAACTTGACAGCCACAACGTCCAGCTATTTTTTGGTTGCAGTTGTCATTGTTGTTTGGCAGGCACGGGCTGGATTTGAACTCGCCTGCTCCGTGTATGTGACTGATGCCCTAGCCGCTGAGCTACAGGCACTGAGTGGGGGTGGGTTGGGGTTGGGGTGGGGAATGTGCATTTTTAAGAGTCCATAGCTAGGAATTTTGTCTTTTTAAAAAATCTGTGAAGTAACACTTCCTTTTATAACAACTTTGTAGTTCTATTCTGGGATTTCTTTTATTTTTATTTTTAAATGACTGTACTAGGCTGCCTTATATATATTGAATCAGGGAATTACCTATATTACGATCGGAATATTTAATTGGACAAACTATTCTATGGTATTGCCTTTCTAAAGATGATAGAGTATACCAAATATTTTATAATAATCTAAGAATATCATGATTTAATATCTCAACCTACTTTTAACTGATATAAACCATTATGTAAATTAAAACATTAGGTACTTAAAAATTTTGCTTAACTTTGCTAGTTATTGTCTGTATTTGTTCACATTGCCATGATGTTACATTATTTTTGCCTCATGTTTTAAAATTTTGCAATTTTCTGCATTTTTTGGCCGGAGCTGGGTAAAAAATTAAATATAAATGTAATTTTTTTTTTTTAAGACTAAACTTCAGTGGCTCTGTGAGGAACTGAAAGAGAGAGAGAACAGAGAGAAAAATCTGCGACATCAGCTATCACTCTGCAAGCAACAACTCAGGGATCATGCTGAAAACAAGGAGACTGAGCTCCACTGTCTTTTTGAACAGATAGAAAGGCAGGAGCAGCTTCTGGAAGAAATACATCGGGAGAAGAAAGGTGTGTTAGCTGTTCTTACCCTTATTTTTCTTTGTTTATATTTACGGAATCCTAGGATTTGTGTGTGCGGGGACCCTCCTCTACTGCCTCTACTTTGTACTGTTTCCAAATCTTTCCCCCTTCCTCATCTCTCACTGTCATCTCATCTTTCCTCATTTCTGGGACTAGAAGAGAAAACTCTTCAGCCCTGAGGGTTCCTCAGTCATCCCCATCTTCTGTCCTGTGTTCATAGCAGGCATTCTATAGCTATGTGAAGGTATTCGTTTGGTAAGACACGCTGCTGCTTTCTTGGTAAGATGTCAAATTTGACATTTACTTTAGTAAAATATCTATTATTTTACTCAATAAAAAATTATTTAATTCATTTTGTTTTAGGTGTTCTTCTGACTATAAATATATCAGTAAATAAGTCAGGAAACAAAATCCTATCCTTATTTAGCTTCTGTTATATTGGACGGGGTGACATAAAATAAGTGTAATAAAGAAAGTGAATTATATAATATATTAAAAGGTTATAAACACAGTGGTGAAAACAATCGAGTAATGGAAGGAGAGTTTGGGAGAACAGGGAGCAGGGTTTAATATACATACGTAGGCATATGTAACTTTCAAAGTTGAATGATAGATTTGGAAAACTTTTTCCATTCTGTTATACTGGGATGCATCATAATGGGAAAGGGATAAAATCCGGTGTGCATCTTATATTGTTTTGGCCTTAGACCATTGTTTTATTGGCAAATTTTATTAATTTAAGAACTGAAAGAGGTTTAATGTAGTATCCCACTAAGAAAATCTAAACATTAACATATGACAGTTCTTTTAAAAGTACGTTTTCTGGTTTTCATTTCAGTAATCGGGATTATTCTCCCCATATGTACCACTTAGAAATTATTCATTACCATACTGCCTACCACTGAGCTACTGATGCCAAGCTAATGCAATTGCTTTTATGTCTATGAATAGTTTTCGAGTTCAATAATTTTTTATTTGCCTTTTGCCTATATAGCATTTTAATTCCTTATACATTTTAGAATCAGCTTGTCGATTTTTTTGGAAAGAACCTACTTGTATTTGATAGATCAGTGTAAAATACATAGATTATTTGAAGTGAATGAACGTCTTAATATACAATTTTTCAATATGTGAACCTGGGATGTCTATTCATTTATTTAGATCATCATCAAATTTTCTCATGAATATTTTGAGTTTTAAGCAAGAGCCTTCAATTTTATTTTTAATTTTGTGACTTGTGATGTTATAATACATGGCATTTTAAAATTTCAAAGTTTAGCATTTATTTCTAATGTATAGGGATATAATTGATTTATTCATTAACATTGTATTTGCAACATTTCAAGACCATTTTTTAGTTCTGGAAGCTTAATGTTGGGGTTGATGATTCCTTAACATTTAGGAATTTCTTGCATTTTCCTCAAGCACAATCCCATCATTTGCAAAAAAAAAAAAAGTTTGGCTTCTTCCTTTTTTCTTTTCTTTTTACTTGCCTTACTTAACTGGTTGAGACCTCTAGTAGGTGTCGAAGTAACCTTGTATTCCTGGGATAACCTAAGGGTTGTCATAATATATTTTCCCTTTTATGTATAGGTGGATTTGGTGTACTAATAGTTTGTTAAGAATATTTGCATCTATGTTTGTGAGGAGTATTGGTTGTTAGCTTCTTTTCTTATGTCTTTATCTGATTTAAATATTAGTGTGACAATGATCTCATAAAATAAACTGAATCTTCCCTTTCATTTAGGGGGAGCATTTATGTTAACCTGATATTATGTGTGTTCAAATGTATAATAGAATTTATCAGTGTAGCCACCTGGGCTTATAGTATTCCCTTAGTGAAGGTTTTTAATTTCCAATTTTAATTCTTTAATAGATATCAGGCTATTTAGAATTTCTAATTTTTCCTGAGCCACTTTTATTAATATGTGCCTGTTAGGGTATTAGTCAATTTCATTAAAGTTGTTGAATTTATTAGCATAACGTTTTTTATAGTGTCCTGTTTTTAATGCCTTTAATTTTTGTAAGATTTGTATTCATGCCTTGTGTTATATCCCTGGTACTGGTGAAGTTTTTTGTCTTTTGTTCTCTTTAAGTCAGGTTTTTATTAATTTATTAACATTTTTATTCATACATTCAAAGAACCAACTTTTGGATTTTTATTTTTTTCTATTGTTTATCTTCTTATTTAATTGATTATTTAATTGCTCTCTGCTGTTATTTGTATTTCCTTTCTTTTACTTTGTATATCATTTGTTCTTGTTCTTGCTTAAGTTGGAATCTTTACATTACCATCTTTCTTTCCTAATATAGACATTTACAGTTCTACCTCTCCATCTTAATAATACTTTAGGTGCATTCCACAA